CGAATATGTAAGAAAGGGCTGAGTGTAATTTTCACGGCTGAAACTTGCGAGGTTCGTGACTTGCTTCTGGAATGAAGACCGGAGGCTTATACCGACTGAACACGAAGAGACCGGAATCTTCTTACTTGATAATTGAGTCCAATATCTGGCACAAGAGGCTTGGGCATTTGAATCAAGCCTGTTTGCGGAAACTTGTCACGATGGTTGATGGCATGGATTTGAAGAATGAAATGAAAGTGGACTGCGTGGCATGCGCAAAGGGTAAGCATGCTCGAGACTCTTTTCATTCTAGTTTATCCCGAGCAGAAGGTCTGCTAGACCTTGTACACTCCGATGTGTGTGGTCCAATCGAAGAAGCCTCGTTTGGAAGGAACCGTTTCTTCGTTACCTTCGTCGATGATGCGAGTCGAAAGGTTTTCGTTTACTTCCTGGAATCAAAGAGCCAAGTAAAGGATGTTTTCGAAAGGTTCAAGGCCATGACGGAACGGCAAACTGGACGAAAGTTAAAAATATTGCGTCCTGACAACGGTATGGAGTATATGGTGATGAAGGAAACATTGAAGCGAGACGGCATCATTCATCAGACGTCCTGCCCCTATACCCCGGAGCAGAATGGTATCGCTGAGCGCATGAACCGTACGCTCGTGGAGAAAGCGCGTAGTATGATCAATGATGCGGAACTGTCGAAGAAGTTCTGGGCGGAAGCAATCACAACCACCGCGTATTTGGACAACAGAAGTCCATCACAAGCGCTGCAGATGATGACACCAGAAGAAGCGTGGTCCAGAAGGAAGCCGAATCTAAACCATCTGAAGATATTCGGTTCCAAGGCGATGGTCCATGTGCCGAAATCGAAGAGAAAGAAGTTTGATTCAAAATCCGTGGAAGGCATTTTTGTCGGGTGCGCGGAGAATTCGAAAGGATACCGGATTTATCTTTCGGAGAACGATGACGTAGTAACCAGTCGAGATGTGATCATTATCAACGAAGGTCGAGCAGTGATGTCAACCGAGAAGCAGAAATCGGTGGAGTTCATGCAAATTGTGACCTGGATTGATGATGTTTTCGATGTACCGGAGCAACCAAACGTCGAGAATACTATCCCAGAGGAGCAAGATACGGAAGGACTGACTGAGCCTGATGATCTGATGGAAGGTCCGTCTAACGCTTGTACGGTTTCTGAGATTGAGCATACTGATTCGTTGAAAGGTCCGTCCAACGCCGACTGGAGAGATGTGTCTGCATCAGCGCTCCCACCGCAACAAGATAGACCAGCTGGTAATGAGCACCGCCAAACCCCAGGCAAGTATTTAGATTTTGTATGTTTTAGTCCATTGTCTGGTCCCGTTATTTCCCCACAGTGTGCGGACGAGCATATTGTTGTTGATGATCCTACGTGCTACCAAGAGGCGATGAAGCATCCAGAACGTGAACACTTGATTGCGGCCATGAAGGAGGAAATTCAAGCGCTTGAACAGAACGAGACGTGGACGTTGGCTGACTTACCGGCTGGATTCGCAACAAGTGGGTGTTTAAAACAAAGCGTGGACCGGATGGAGCAATTGAGCGATACAAAGCACGTTTGGTGGTCAAAGGATATTCTCAGCGACCGGGAATCGACTACGACGAGGCTTATTTGCCGATGGTCCGTTACTCCACCATTCGATATTTGCTGGCATTATCTGTGCAACACGACCTGGATGTGGAACAAATGGACGCAGTTACTGCATTCCTGCAGGGGAAGCTCAAGGACGAAATCATATATATGGATCAACCTGAAGGCTTCGTGAACAAAAGCGACAAGGTGTGTCTGTTGCGGAAAGCACTCTACGGCTTGAAGCAATCCAGCAGGGTCTGGAACAGCCAGCTCGACAAGGCGTTAAAAGATTTCGGACTTACACGCTCGGATGTCGATACTTGCTTGTATTTCAAGTTAGAAGGAGGAAAGATGCTTTTTGTGACCATCTATGTTGATGACTTCCTTGAATACCTTTTTGAATACCCGTTTTAACATGAAGGACATTGGTCAAGCGAAATTCTGCTTGGGACTGAGAATATCCAGGGATAGGCGAAATGGTATGCTTTGGCTTGACCAGCAGCATTATGTGGAGAGCATTCTCCAACGGTTCAACATGGCGAACTGTTGTCCAGTTTTTGACTCCAGCTGAACCTAGCTTGAAGCTCCATAGTAAGATGTCACCAATCACACCAGACGAAATTCAGGCATTGAAAAATGTCCCGTTCAAGGAGGCAGTTGGCTGTTTGACGTACTTGGCGCAAGCGACGAGGCCTGATATAAGTTATGCTGTCAATCAGGTCAGCTAATTTTTCAGTAATCCTGGACAATGCCATTGGATTGCTGTAAAACGTATCATGAGGTACCTAAAGGGCACAGCTGGACACCAGCTTCAGTATTGCAGAGAGGAAGTTTTCCAATTGGTCGGTTATACAGATGCGTGGATACGTGTTCACGTTCATGGGCGGAGCAATTTCGTGGAACGTGAAACGACAGCCGACAGTTGCACTCTCATCGTGTGAAGCCAAATATTTGGCGCTTTAAAGGACCGTGCAGGAGGATCTCTGGTGGCAGTATCTTCAATCGCAAATTTTCGGGCAGCAAGTCATTTCAATTCGATGTGACAATCAATCCGCTATCTGCGTGGCGCAGAACCAAGGACATAACCCCCGGACTAAACATTTGGACATTAAGCACCAGTTTGTGAAGGACACTTTGGATCGTGGAGTCATCAACCTTGCGTACGTTAGCACGAAGGAGCAACCAGCCGACGGTCTTACGAAGGCTTTACCGAACATCAAACTGGAAGCTTTCAGAACATTAATAGGGCTCGCAGCTTAGGAAGGAGTGTTGTGATCTCAATCTAAGTAATCCGCGAGTTCGTAGTAACCACTGTTAGTTTGTTAGTCAAATAAAACTTTCATTCGTTTCCAACCATTCCTCAAGATCAGACGTCTTTTATTTCACTGCATTTACAAGTGAAGCCATTGTGTCGCGAGCAGGCTTACTGAAACTCTGCAAACTCACTGGAGGTTTTAAAACACTCTTGTCCTGCGAGTTAAGCCAGCCCTCACCTCGAGTAAGTGGCGGCAGGAATATGGAAGAAGTAAACACAAACTCCTCGAGAGAGAGAGAGAGAGTGAACTTCAGCGAGAGGATGATTTGACGTGAGGTGCGCTTTTCGAGACTACGGATGACTTTTTTGTTCGACGCAAGAAGCTCAAAGTTCACCCAGAGTGAGAGGCCTATCCTATCTGCATTGATCAATTCTCTTCATCGACTTTCTCTTCCGTTAATAACTCGGCTGCAAAACCTTTGCCTGTTGAATTTGACGTTTCGGACAGTAGATAATAATTTCCTTTATCAAACTATGTGGTAAAAATAATGCAAAATCTATTTGCATAGCAGCGGTTATTAAAAGAGAAAGTCAATGGAGAGAACCGATCAAAGCAGATAGGACCATTTGAAATATTCATCGAGATTTGACTATTCAAGCTGAACATTGCATTAGGTCCTAAGTAACACTGACCGATTCTCTTCCGTCGACTTTCTCTTTGCATCCCCACGACCATGTAAAACATTCCCAGGTATTTTCAGCACACAGATCGGTAAAAGAAGCTTTTATCTAGCATTTGATACGACAATCACAACAAAAAACGGCTATGTGCTCAAGTTATTAACGAAATAGAAAGTCGATGAAGAAAGTCGACGAAGAGAATTTGTCAATGTTACTTAGGACCTAATGCAATGTTCAGCTTGATATCTATGGGAAATCTTCGAAATCATCGTGATATCATGGATTCCTTTGCAACATCGGGTGAGATCTTTCCTTCATTTCTAGATAGAGCAGTTTTGGCGTGACTTTCAACCAGCGATTTCACAAAACTGGACTAACTAATTTCTATTTTTTTAAGAAACGCACACATTTTGGCTACTTTTCTCGAGGTTCTAGAAGAAAAAATCTCAAAATAATGTTTTATTTCAAAGTCTATTTTGTAGTCTGTGAGAGCAAAATCACAAATAGAGTGACATCAAAATACATGGCATGTTGAGAAATTGAGCTAGTGAGAGCAAATTTTCGCTCTCAAATTTGAATGTTTTGGCTCGCTGAATACTGGTAGTAAAGCAGGTTAAACTGTTTGCGGAATAATCATTTTTATTTAATTGTAGCTTTCTTAACAATAATTTTCGGGAAAAAACTGAACGACAAAGTCCCTGAATAATTTATTTAGGTTGTCGTTAACTTTTTTTGACCCCTGAATATGCACCGAAAGCGAATTATTCCCTCTTCTCTCAATTTCTTTATGGGGATTTTTATCACTTCCTACCAGCGGCACAGCGCCATCTCTGTGGAAAAAGGCCAGACGATATGATTTATTGAAAAAAAACAAAAGTATTTGAAAAATTTTAACATACAGCAGGCCGTGATATTTTTTCCCGTAGAATAGGGACCCATAGGGATGTGTAAAAAATTTAACATTGTATTGTTGCAGTAAAGTTTGATGCATTAGAAGTAGTATTTGTTCAGCTATGGCAATGAAAATCGACTTTTCCAAAAATCTCTTCGGGGCCTCCTCTAATTCACGTTTTTCAAAGTTTCCGCCATAAAATGGTTTTAACTTGCATTTTAAACGACAAGCACATTAGAGAATGTTTTTGAATTATTAACGAATGATAAAACCGGTGAAAAAATCGATCAGTACTAATTGCATGTTTTTGAAATATTTAGGATGTGTTTGATTTTAAATCGCATATCAACGCATTAGCATTTGATTTCGATTTGACTATATACAATCGGTTGAAATATGTGGCTTCAATTGTTTTAAAAGAGTCTTCCTCTATTCTTTACGTGTATCGTGAATCACAAGGCAAATCCCAAACAAATAAATATTTAATTTATGAAATGCTTCATGAAATTCCTGTCACAAATCAACAGTTCTGAAAAAGAAAAAGAAACAAACATATTGCGAAGCAGAATACTCACGTGTCGTATCGTACTGCACGCCCTTGAACTCCGAAAAGCACGGCAGGACGGCCGTCGTCGCCGACGGTGTCCTTGGCCAGCAGGAGATGGAATCGAACAGCGGCGGACATGAAAGCTCCAAGAATAGCGTATCGTTCAGCTGAAGGCACTGCTCGCGAAAAGAATCATTAGCTGCCAGCGGAAATCCATCACTACTTTCGGAACCGGCACCAACCATCACGGCCAGTAGCGACTCAATCGACGACGACTCGTTCATCCTGTGGTACAATTTGCCTCCCTATACTTTGTACTTAGGCCTAAGCGGAAGCAATCTTATCACTATCACTTTTTTTCACACTTCACTCCTATCGACAGTTGGGGTTGTTTTGCTTCATCGAGCTCAGTAATCAGTACGATTCGCTAGAATGTTTTTCCGATGGAAATTTTTGCTTGCTTTATTCATCTTCCTCCGATTGACTGGCTCTGATGCGGAAAGAAACGGAATTCACTCTGATCAACAACTCTATTTTTCTCAGACGCACACGTAAAAATTCCCGCTCGCGAAGGTTCATTATGTTGCCACCAACGAACGGCGAACGACGATCCAAATGACCAATCGCGCTTCTGTTCCGATCGAAACTGAATCGAACCGAACCGCGTAAAGTTGGGAAAACGAAAATCCCACTTTTACAACCACCCCCTCACTGTGGACGCTCTCTGCTGCTACGACGACGGCAGCGATCTCCAGCCGCTTTTCCGCGTGCACCTTGGCGATTCGATACAAGATGAAACAGTATAGCCGTATCAACTGGGAGGGATTTCCGTTGAAAAACCACTTTGTCCCCTAAGGAATGATTCGGAACCTCGTACTGTAGCCGAGAGGATGCCCGGTTAAGTGACAAAATTGGCTCGAATGAGCATCGGTAAGTAACTGATCAACACCTTGAGTGCCCCTAGCAGACAAATGAAAAATGATACAAATCTCATCGCACGGTCCCGACGATCAAGGTGAAACGGAACAAAGAAGAACTCGAAAAGTTGTTTTCGATAAGATCAGGTATGTCGCGCTAAGTATGTCGCCTCGGTGTGGTGATCACTTTCGGTCACTCATGGAGTTTGTACACGAAAACGAATCCACTCAGGATGAATGGCCGAAACGGTATTGATCTTTTTCAAGGCAGAAAATGCAGTTCAAATTCCTATCCAAAGAAGATGATTCCTCGCACCACTAATCCGTAGCCAATCACGCACGACTCTATTTTATCACCGGCTATTAAATGTGGAGCATAACATATTATCTTGGTCATGAACAGATTCATAATTGAACCGGTTTTCAAGTCTATTGGATTAAGCTAGCCGAGTAGTTCTGCTTGAAAACCAAATATCTCGTTAATTGAGTCGGTCGTTGCTGAATCGCGCGTGTCTGGTTGCCTATTTGAATAAGCGCTTTTTATCACTCATCGTATCGGTGTTATAACCGGATCAGTAATTAACGTGATAATGGGATTAGGCACGTGTAAAAACGTTCGTAGCAAACGAACCAGTTTTGGCGCCAAATGTGGCCTGAACCGGTGTTCTCGGCTTGACCCTGCCCCCTGGACAGTTTATTTACGTACAACGGAATCACTTAAGCATTGTGCTGGATGAATGACATTAATCAAAATAACATTATGTTTTACAACTTGTTACAAGAAGTCAGTCTAAATATGGCACAATATCACTCTATCATTCAATCACTGCACAATCACAAAAATAAACTTCTATTCCAAGGAACAAAATTTGCCAGTTCTCTACTCTGTGCAGGAGATCAAAGAACTAAATAGTGATCTGCAAATGAGTTCATCTTCGACATTCCTTCAAAATTAGGCCTTTTCAAATTTATTTTGAAGTCTCTGGGGGGGGGGGGGGGTGGGCCTTAAATCGACTCAAAAAATCCGGGGGAACAAATAATGCATTTTATTTTATGTTCATACTAGATCCAGCCAACTATTAAACCATCAAAATCTGGCATGTGGCTCAATAAGTTGGATCTAGCTGCTATCTACTATGGTGAAATAATCGTTCTAATTGTGTGGCCTGGAACCTGCCGACCTACCGAGTGCCAATGCTGCAGCATGTAGATGTCACTCCGTTTCTGTTGGCGAAGTTCGGGGAACGTCGTAAAAGTTCAGGTAAAGGTTTATAAGTCCGTAGATCGTTGCAAAACTTCAACTAAATTCGTGGAAGTTTAGAAAATGACGTCCAAGTTCAAGAAACTCTCTTGAAGTGCAGTAAGAAGCTTATTTAACTTTATAGAATTTATGAACCTTTGTTAAAGTTCTGTGAACTTTATAGAAGTTCAGTTAAATTTGTAGAAATTCAGCGATAAATTTGTAGGATTCAGTTATTGAATTTCTAAGTTAGAGCAAAAGCTCCTATACAGGTTCTCCACTTGTTCAATGTTTTGATAGGAAACATCATAGTTAAGGTACACCGGGGTAAGTTGAAACGGTACGTATATCTCTTAGCGAAAGGAATAGTCACTGTAGTTATTTTTGAGAGGCATTGTGTAATACCGCAAACTACAATATTAGAAATAATCTCAGTGAATATTTACTTTCGCTAAGAGATACATCTACCGTTTCAACTTTCCCTCGCTTTTCACCTTGCCCCGGTGTAGGGTAACGAATTTTGGTTGGACCAATTTATGTCATTTTCGCACTGCGTCTAAATTTATGCCTTGATTTTCTATGAATATAACATATCAGTGCCAACATTTCAAAGGGGCGTAATTGCATTTGTAAACAATGGCTTTAGCCGTCGATTTCTCGAGAATAAAAGCTCACTCATGTGAGAGTGACTAATTCAGAGAGTGAGTCACTTTTACTCATTCGTATGGAGAAATTTCTAAAAGCGTAGGTCACTCAGCTCATGAGTAACCTACGCTTTTAGAAATTTCTCCATACGAATGAATAAAAGTGACTCACTCTCTAAATAAGATTAGTTTTCAGTGAATGAAGACTGCTTAAGCAAGCCTTTTGAATCAAATTATACTAGCGCTGCATGTCAACCATTTTGTCAAGCTTCGGAATTCATTTTTTTTCATCAGATGTATCTGCTTTTGTTTGCGGTTACAGCTATCAGAAACTACGCATAATATATTTTCTGTTTATTGTACACAGAGGACAGTGCAGTGCAAAACACGTCTGGTACGTATATAGGGGAATTTACGTATTCTCGGCAACCTAAGCAGCGACCTTCTTTCTATAGCCTTTTTCTCTAAGGAACGCACACATATGCAGTATTGGGTTGTTTACAATCTTTTGCTGCCAGCTGCTCTAACAATTTCAGTCGAAAGAATTGTCAAAAACTGTTTTGAAACGCTTTTACAAAGCTCCAAACTTCTCTAGTGAGAGCGAGTATTGTCGGCAACCAGTTTTTCTTCGGCAACCGTTCCATTTGAACTGCATGTAAATCTGCTGTTCTATTATCGGCAACTCGAAATCAGCTACAATTTGTAGTGCGTGTGTTGCATTTCAAGAAAACCTTGCTAGATTGCTTTTTCTCAGTGGTAAAAACACAGTCAAATTGAAGCTGAAAGCATACATAATCGTTTGCATGCATTCAGCGAAGTGTTTTCGTAAGAAAATCCAGTGAAAATAGTGTTTCAATTTGTGTTGCCGAAAATAGTCTGTCATGCCGAAGCCGTCATTTCCCCTATATATATATATATATATATATATATATATATATATATATATATATATTTTTTTTTTTTTTTTTTTTTTTACATCTTTATTAAGGAGATTTTCAACCGTTGGCTGGCTCTTCTCCGACTTATATATATATATATGCATTTAGATTAACATCCAAAATCCGTCCTTTTCTACATATTCTGCACAAAATAAACATTTGAAGTCCCTCCATTTGACGTAGGATTACGTCTTCCGGCTACATATTGAGGGTGCAATTTAAAAAAAAAACCAAAATCGACCGCGTTACGAAAAGTGGTCAGGTTTTGACCCCTTATAGGTCTGTCAATAGCGGATGGATTTTAATTCTAAACAAACCAATCGATTGGCTTGTTTTCTACAAATCTACTAAAATGAACACTTTATCGATTTTCAATAGGTCACTATTGAAAATTACACAAATGTCCAACTGTTTTAATGGTGATCAAAATTTTGCGGATGTTCTCAAATGTTATCAACGAATTCGAAATGCAAATGGTATACGACGAATTCCGCGAGGTGAGAAACATGGATTTGCCAATGGATACTAATTTTGATGATGGTGTTGAATTTTGGGGAGTGGTACTGGCCACCAAACAGGTGAATGGCAAAATCGCTTTTCCCTACTTGCATTGCCACACTCCTCAGCGGTAGTTTGAAGGATGTTTTCGTCGATCACCCTAAAAAAACTAAACTGCGTAACAGGATGGATTCAGCTATGATGCAGAGAATCCTAGCGTCCAAGGAATATGGAAAAACCATCAAAATAAAAAAAGGAATCACTGAAATCATAAAAACAGATTTTCGACTATTTTCAAGCAACATGTATGATAAAACTAAATAATAAAATCTGTTCGGTAAGTTCTGATCATTCCTCATTTATTTTTATTTGAAATAATAGATTTTTCCTTCTTCTAGCCTTACCCACAAACCTATGTTCCTTTTTACGTGTTCACTTAATTCCGATGGTTCGGTACATGTACCTTGAACGGGATTTTTTTTTTTTTGATCTCGTGATTTTAAACAGCAAAATGCTTTTTAAGTTTTGATTTCGTATTTTTTGCACTAAGAATATTTTATTTACAATACAGACAAAAACAGACATGATTTTTGACACTCAAACAGACTTTTGAAAAAATCATCTGGCATCCCTGTTATTCCATCACCGTGTGTGAGGGTGTCCGGTCGTTCTTCACCATCAGCAGTAGCAGCAGCAGTGCATTCGGCGCAACATTGAACATTGTTCTCCAGTACACAACGAAAGGCTGCTCGGAAGCAGCGAGCTGCAGTCCACATGAGCGTCCATTCACCGAAGGAGGAGGAAGAAGCTGCATCGCTACTGATCGGATTCAGTAGCTCTTAGTGAGTCACTGTGGGCCATCTATGCCAAGCGCGTCACCTTCGATCCAAACAACAAACAGCTCGCAAGCCTCATCTGGGTTGAACACCCTAATAGCTCAGCATTACTCAACATCACGGAAAAACGGTTCTTTTTTTTTCAGGACCACTGTAAATTTGTGGTCGAATTTTAATCCACAGATGATGGATTTTTAATTCTTAATACGCCAATCGTTAGGGCATTTTTCTTCAAATATGTTCGAACTAAGACTTTATCAATTTCCAAAAGGTCAGTATTGAAAATTGCATGAAATATATTATCACCGGGGCTACAAATGGTGAGTCGACAAACTGGAAGGAGTGTTGTCCCAACAGCTCTGGTCCTCACAAGTTCCTACCTCACGCTTCCACGGGTAAGCCGATGACAAAGACCGCCAGCAAAAGATGCTGGTAGCGTAGCCTGGGCAATGTCACCACGATAAAAACATGGATCCGGATCGTGGTGATAGCAAAGTGAGGAGGTGCGACCCTCGAGCGTCTGTTCACCATGGAGGTGCGGCTCAAACAGCGTCTGTCTCGGAGCGAGCGGCTGAATAAGAAATGCTGTATCACGTCAGCTACACCTAAGGTGGCAGCCCCACCAACATGATGTAGGTATCGCGACCCCGGTAAGGTAGCATACTGAAACCCCCAACATTACTCAGAAAAACGAAGAAAGAGAAAACAACGAACGGAATTTTCGGCAACCGACCTGGCAACGAAATAAGGACAATGAATGGAAACTCGGTACTTGGAATGTCAGAACCTTAAATGAACCTGGACGAGCGGGCCTTTTGGCTCGTGAACTGCAAAAAGTGAATGTGAGCGTAGCTGCTATTCAGGAAGTACGGTGGCCTAGATCCGGAGAACGTGAATTCCGGGCGGTGGATCCCATCGCCAATACTTCCTTCAAGTATCATATCTATCACAGCGGTGGCGATAGGGCAGAACATGGAGTAGGGTTCATAGTGATCGGGAAGCAGATGAAGCGTGTTATGCGGTGGAGACCGGTAAGCGACCGCATCTGTGTATTAAGGATTCGGGGCAAATTCTTCAACTACAGCCTGATCAACATCTATGCGCCAACCAACGATAAATCCGATGACGTGAAGGACGCGTATTATGACAGTCTCGATAAAACTTATGATGAGTGCCCAAAACACGACGTGAAGATTGTAATCGGAGATGCAAATGCGCAGGTCGGGAGGGAAGATTTCTTTCGTCCAATCATTGGTACAGAGAGCCTACATACAGTAACCAATGATAACGGCCTGAAACTGATAAACTTCGCCGCTGCTAGAGGTATGGCCATCAGTAGCACCTACTTTGCACGCAAGAATATCCGAAAGCACACCAAATGGCGAAACTTGCACCCAGATCGATCACATGTTGGTGGATGGCCGGCACTTCTCAGATGTCATTGATGTAAGGACTTTTAGGGGGCCTAACATTGACTCAGATCATTATCTTGTTGTCTGCAAAATTCGGGCGCGTCTATCGACCGTTACGAATTCAACGAACCGGAGATCGATGCGTTTCAATATCCATCGCTTGTCAGTAGAAGGTGTTGCTGCAGAGTACCGCCAGAAGCTTGATGAGCGGATTAGCGAAATCAACGTGAACGAAGACCTCAACAATCTGTGGAACACAATCCACGGAGCGGTGAACACAACAGCACAAGAAGTGATAGGTACAGCTCAAAGACGACCACGTAATGGCTGGTTTGATGAGGAGTGCCAGAGGTTGACGGATGAGAAGAACGTTGCCAGAAGCCGGATGTTAGTGTCTGGTACC